GCCACATTTTATGTATAAAGACACATACTATTAAAAAATAATAATAAACTTAATTAATTCTTATTCTAACAGAAATTAATGCATTTTTTTAATTCTAACTGGTGAAAAAAGTATTCATACAAATCAATTATTAGAATAACATAATCAATCAATTATGAAAAAAGTATATTCTAGAATGTTCCAGTAATGTTATCAGTAATTATAGTTAACGCTATTAGCCATTATCAGAGCATTCTGCAATTTCTAGTCTTACGAGGAGGTTCTAATAATGCCTAAAGGTAAAGAATTGACTATTTCACAAAAAACAACACATTTTGTGTCTTTGGAAAGATGGGAACAGTTACAGAACAATTTCTAACAACATGAATATTCCTTTTACTACATTTGCTTCGTTCGTTGCAAGGTTTAAAACTCGTAACAGCGTCGAATACCAAAGACGAATAGGTGCTCCGAGGAAGATTTCTCTAAAATCAGCAAGGATATTAGGACGCAAGATCCAACAAAATCCACAGGTTTCCCAAGAAGAGCTGCAGAAACATCTACGTGCATTAGGGATTAAAGTAACCAAGTGTACAATAAGTAATGAACTACACAAAAACAGTCTGAAATCACGCATCCCAAAGAAGACTCAACTCTTCTTGAAATGACGCAGAGATGCTAGGCTAAAATTCATTAGAGAGCATAAGGATAAAGAATATTCATTTTGGGAAAAAGTGCTATGGGTAGATGAAACTAAAATAGAGTTGTTTGGTCATAATTATTGAAATCATGTGTGGAGGAAGGACAGTGAAGCCTACTTACCAAAGAACACGCTGCCAACTGTAAAGTTTGGTGGTGGCAGTATCATGATCTGGGGCTGTTTTTCTACAAAAGGTGTTGGCAGAATATCAATAATAGATGGCAAGATGAATGCAGAAAGATACCAGAAAATCCTGCAAGACAATTTAATGCGTTCTGTTGAGAGACTTCGGCTACCTCCTGATTGGGCTTTCCAACTGGATAATGATCCTAAGCATACCGCTAGATCTACAAGGAAATGGTTAGCTGAAAGTAATGTTGATGTCTTGCAATGGCCAAGTCAGTCCCCAGACTTGAACCCAATCGAGAATTTATGGCGATATTTGAAAATTCAAATTGGGATAAGAACACCAACAAATATCAAGAATTTGAAGACAATATGCCAAGAAGAATGGGACAAAATACCACTCAATGTGTGCGAATCATTAGTTGAGACGTACAGGAATAGGATGGTAGTTGTTGAACTCAATAAAGGATATTCCACAAAGTATTAAATTAAGTTAATATGCTTTTTTTGTTTTGTACGAATACTTTTTTCATCAGTTAAAATGAAAAAAATGCTTTAATTTCTGTTAGAATAAGAATTATTTAAGTTTATTACTATTTTTTAATAAAATGTATCTTTACACATAAAATGTATCAAAATTTGTTTAGTTAAGGCTTTTACATTTATAAAAATACAATTTTTTATGTGTACAAATATTTATTTCCTCCCACTGTATATAATATATATATATACACACACACACACACACACACACACACAATCTTGAGAGTGCTTAAGTAGTTGGTTCCTGTGGTAAATATGCAAAGCCAAAATTTCCAAAGCTGATCATCTGTACATTATTTACATTATTCGGACTATTGTCCTCATCTTTGTCGCCATATTATGTTTCGGCCATTGTATGCTCCGGCCTTCTTCAGGTGATTAGAATGTCAAACTGAACCCTTTATTTCGCTCACTGGGGTAGACTGTTCTAGTTTCACATGCCATGTTTAATGGATGTCAGTTATCTCCTGTTAATTTCCCTCTGAAAGTTTTCCACTGCTTTAACCAGGTATCAGGTATTGCTCTCAGAACTCTTCAAGTCCTGTCACTGGATCTAACTAACGTATTTATTCACTGTGCCATGTGTCCTTGAGTCCGAATAATGTAAATAATGTACATAATACCTCATCTCAGAAATATAGACAGATACTGATCATCTGTGGCAGGGGTACTGATCCTCCCTAACTGAATCCTGAGAATAGCACCCCCTAGGGCCTAGTACTGAAAAATGTGAGAAAGAAAGGAAGACATGTTAAAAATGTAAAAAAAGATGAAACATGAAATGAACAGTTTATTCAAATTAAATATAAACTAAATTTTTTATTTCACTCTTTGATTGGATGCCTTCCTGATATGGACTCCCAGGGGCTGCCACACTCTATGCTCCCCTTCTGCATGCTACTGTGTAGAGGCCTTACTTGATAATGTACTCATGTAGTAGCCAGAATTGATTGTGGTTTCATAGGGCATAAAATCTAACTGTATGTCTGCTTTCTTGTCCCAAAATAAAATGTCCATCTCTCTACCACTGGAGTATGCTTCCTCAAATTTCTTTTTTCTGGATGATTCTGATGGTGCAACTCAACTGAACCTTTGCTCTCTGACTCGTCAGGGTGAACCCAGGTGTCATTTCCTCTGACTATTCTTGCTTAAGAAAGTTCTATGCATGTTTAGCAACTCTAGAACTTTTTGTGCAACAACCATCCACTTCTTCATGGAGGAAAGGTTCTTCTTTGTCTAAATGAAGACACAACTATAAAAACAACACAAAAGAATAATTGCCAATACTTCTCCCATTATTCAGGAATGAGACACAGTTTATAGCAAAAACAAGGTCACTCTCACTGTCTTAACTGTAGCTTTAATCTGTCTCTCCCTCTCTCTTTTTGAGTCCCCCTCTGTCTTTTTGTCTCCCACTCTATGTCTATCTTTTTTGTTTCTCTTCCTCCTTCTCTCTTTTTTGTCTAACTCTCTCTTTTGTTTACTCTCTCTTTTTGTCTCCCTCCCTCCCCGTTTCTTTTTGTCTCCCTCCCTCCCCGTTTCTTTTTGTCTCCCTCCCTCCCCGTTTCTTTTTGTCTCCCTCCCTCCCCATTTCTTTTTGTCTCTCTCCCTCCCCATTTCTTTTTGTCTCAATCCTTCCCTTCCCATTTCTTTTGTCTCAATTCCTACCTCCCCATCTCATTTTGTCTCCCACCATATAGTTTCTCCCTGTACCCGCTTTCCTTCTCTAGTTTCTGTTTATAGCAAAAACAAGGCCACTCTCACTGTCATAACTGTAACTTTAATCTGTCTCCCTTTTTCTGCTTTCTTTTTGTTTTGTCTACCTTCCACCTTTCCTCTTTTGTCTCTCTCCCTCCTTTTTTTGTCTCTCTCCTTTTTTTTTTTTGTCTCTCTCTCCCCCTCCCTATCTTTTGTCTCTCTCCCTCCCTCCTCTCTTTTGTCTCTCTCCCTCCCTCCCCCATTTTTTGTCTCTCTCTTCCTCCCTCTTTTTTTGTCTCTCCCTCCCTCCCTCTCTTTTGTCTCTCTCCTCCCTCTCTTTTGTCTCTCTCCCTCCTCCTTCTCTTTTCTCTCTCTCCCTCCCTCTCTTTTTGTCTCTCTCCCTCCCTCCCTCTCTTTTTGTCTCTCTCCCTCCCTCCCTCTCTTTTTGTCTCTCTCCCTCCCTCCCTCTCTTTTGTCTCTCTCCTCCCTCCCTCTCTTTTTGTCTCTCTCCCTCCCTCCCTCTCTTTTTGTCTCCAACTATCTACTTTCTGCCTGTACCCTCCATCTTTTTCTAGTTTCTGTTTCTCTAATCACTCCCACTCTTGCTCATCTGTCTGCAGCTCCCAATCTTTTCAATGTTTATTTTACTAAATTTTTACCCAATACAAGGCTTAAGAGCCACTCAAGATAGATGGTTACTGAATGAGGTGGCTGATAACAGTTGACCCTAGACTTGAAGTGGTTAAGCTTGTAGCTGACAGGGAAGCATCTTCTCGGAGTTTATTCCACAAAGTAATGGTTCTGTCTGGGCGGAATTTCCTTCTTACTAAAGGAATACAATGGGAATAGGGACAATTCATCTCAGTGTACATGACATGGCAGGTCTTAACTGTGAAGATGGAGCTAATGAATGTCGTTTATCAGAACATTTACCATAGCAACAAAATAGTAGGAGGCTTGCAATGTTTCACCTGTGGGAAAGAAGTTGTAAAGTGGAAAATAATTCATCACTCCACAAATTTTCAGATGCTTTTGAATTCTATCAAAGCTGGGAACCCACTTTTCACATAACTTTTAGTAGGCAAAAGACTGCACTAAATTGCAGGCTCACCTGAAGCCTTTCAGAGTTTTACAACATTGATTTTTCTGTCATTTGTAATGAAAGCACCAGTTATTTGGTTTTATCTTCATTCACAGCAACTGGTCTGTAACTATGTGGCTTATTGTTAAAGTCAATTTCTTTCTTGCTGTTAAATTTATTAACCTATCACCCTATGGTGCTTATATCAAGTGCAGCCTTTCCATGAATATTCAATGACCTGAAGTGAATGTTTGCAATATTTTCTCCTTTAATAAACAGAAATTCTATGATAGCACTTTACTTTGTCTGTGTGTTCAAAGAGGCAGCCATTTTTTACTCTGACCTTCTTATTGTTTAAACAAGCTGTAGCAATTCTAATACTTTTAAAATTAAAATATGCATTACATTTGACCAATCCTTGTATTTTCTTTACATGATAGGTTAAGGTAAGCATGTTCATACACCTGCAGCTAGATACTTCTCTCTCTTCCTAGTCTGTCTCCCTCTCTAGTACGTCTCCCTTTCTCTCTCTTTAGTCTGTCTCTGATTCCCTCTCTCTCTCTCTTACTAGTCTGTCATGGTCACCCTCTCTCTCACTCACTCTGTCTCTCTAGATTTTTACTCATTCTCTCTTGACTCTCTCAACTCTGCCATTCATCCTCTTGACACTTTGCTCTCATTTTCAGTTAATGAAACTCTTTCTCTTTCACTTTTCTCTTCTCACATCTGAAAAACCTCTAAATAAAAGGTTCTGGAATAAAATACTCAAATGGTATGTTCACACACACACATACACGGGTCCCCATCTTCAGATATGCCTAGCCACCCATGTTCCCACAGTAGCATCAGGAATTTGTTTGTGTTTGTTTATAGTGACCTGTAAAGCAGTGACAATTGAAAATGGATTTTTGCAAGTGAAATCTTCAGGGAAAACAGTTACACCCGATGATGACGTCTCTGCCAATGAAACAGTCGAAGTCAAATGCGACAATGGATACAATGTAAAAGATGACACGGATCCTATCAAATGCCATATGGGCAAATGGACTCGGGAGTTTCCAGTATGTCAACCTGGTAAGTAGCTCTTCTAGTTTGAACATTGATCAAGATTAGCATTTTTCTTCTTTTTTTATGTGACTCCTCTTTTGTATACAGACTTATGTCTACATCATGTTAAAAGACCAGTTCAATCACTGAAGTTAAGCAATGTCAAGCCTTGTCTGTAATTAGACAGGTGATTGCTTGAGAATACGAGGTGCTGTAAGTTTGAATGTGTGGAATGGATAATGGCTCAGAATTGTTTAATTATTATATTCACTTATGCATAAATTTTCTTTGGAAAGGTACGAATCCACAAGTATAGATTAAATAGTAAGACTTGTATCACTAAACAGTTATTATCTCCCCACAAAAATCTTAAAATGTAAAAATATTTCCTGTCTTTAAATAACCTGCAATAGGTTGGTAAGCCATAGAATATATATGGTTCACAGAGTAGGCATAATGTTCTGAGAATGATGTGAATAAACATTGAAATATTAACCAAACTACTTATGATTTTTAAAGTATTGAGAATCCAGAAGCATGATTTTTAAATCTGCCATAAGTCTTCATCAAAATCGTTGAATAAAGGCATCAATAAATAGGCAGTTGTAATATAGTGTAGGATATTTGTTTTAGTCTATGACTAACAAAAACACAAGTTGTGATATATTCAACAGAAATGCACAGACCAGGGAAGTTTGTAGCTTGCTTTCAAGTACAAAGAAAAAAATCTAGTCAAGGCAATAAAATCCTTGGCACTGAACCAAATTTATAGGCCACTCATTTAGACTAACACTCTCTGTATATTTTTGATGTGACACCTCTTTAAATATATATATATATATATATATATATATATATATATATATATATACTAATTGGTAATTGGTAGGGATAATTCCAAGGAGGACATTAATCCAAAGAGAGCTCAATGTAAGTAACAGAGCAATATAATAATGATAAATAAAGACAATCCTTAAAAATCTATTTCAGTTATAATTTATTTCATGAATATATTTATTTAAATATTCATCTTTTTAGACATTTTTTTTTTTTTTAGAAATGAAATTGTCCAGACAAAAGAAAGAGGAAAAAAGAAAGGAAAAGGAAAAAATTTTATAATAAGAGGAAGAAAGAAAAAGAAAAATTTTTTTCTTTCTCTCTTCCCTAAATTTAAAAAGAAAAAAAATTCAAATATCTGGGAGGTGTTCTGACAGAAGACGGTAAGTGCAACGCTGAGATCCAAAGATGCATTGGGATGGCCAAAGATGCATTCCAATAGCTAGGCAGAGTATGATGAGACAGGTGTATTTCGTTTGCAACAAAGAAAAGAGTACTGAACTACTACGTGATATGTCATCCTTTATGGCAGCGAATGTTGGACAGTCTCCTCAAAGATGAAGAAGAGACTCAAGGCAGCAAGTGTCATTCTACGGAAAGATGCTAAGGATACCAACAATGAGGTTTTGCAGAGGAAGCAAACAAAAAGGTAACTCATACTTAACATCAGGAAGAAGCAGCTGAAATTTCTGGGACATGCAATGAGAAAGGAGGGCTTGGAAAATCCGATACTCACAGGGTGGATAGATAGAAAGAGGGACAAGTGGACGGCATTCATTTTCTATGGCTTGATTCATTCATTTTCTATGGCTTATCAACTCTTTGCAGGTTATTTAAAGACAGAAAGTATTTTTACATTGTAAGATTTTTTCCTGGTAGAAATCACAAAAAGTCAAAGCTTATTAAGAGCTACAAGGAACAGAAGGAAATGGAGAGCCATGATCACCAATGTCCTGAAGGAACACAGCACATGAAAGAAGAGTGAAGGGGATGTGTTTTCTTTAAGGGTGGGAGGGAAGAAATGGTTTCTTGCAGTCTGTGATGTTCTTCATGGTTGTGCAGTAAAGCACATGAGATAAAGTTATAGTTTCCTTTACAAGGGGGGGGGCACAGATTCGATACCTGCCAAGAACGCATTTTCTTTATTAGAATTTCTCACGCGCTGAAACCTGATAGACATAATACACACTGGTTAATAAATAAAAATGGGGCATCAAATAATAAAAAAGTTGGATTAAAAATAAATCCATTAATTTTTTATATTATATATATATATATATATATATATATATATATATAAACATATATTGTTAAATATAACAGACAATGAATGTTCTAAATTTTGTATGTATGCTTTAAATTTGGCAGAAAATAAAGACAAAAATTATTCGTTTGGATATTTCTTTAAGCTAGTCCTTGATCTAAGTTTACAGCAATTATGAGCCATCTTCAGAGTGGTTTATGGGTATTCAAATAAAAATACTCACCATCAAAAATGATATTTTGTTATGCTGACATAGAAGAATTATATATTATGTATGTATATATATATGTGTGTGTATATATATATATATATATATATATATATATATATATATATATATATATTATATATTATGTATGTATATGTGTGTATATATAATTATGATGTATTATGTGTGTGTGTGTACAAACACACACACACATATATATATATATATATATATATATATATATATATATATATATATATATATATATATATATATATATATATATATAATTTGTATACCTTGGTAGCACTCTCAACCACCACTGCTCCCTTGATGATGTGATAACGTTACATATTAAGAAGGTGCATTTGCAGCACTCAAGTTCCCTGTCTGGAGTCAGTTGAGCATAAAAAAGCAGACAAAAATTAAAAGATATAATGCTTGTGTTATGTCATCTCTGCTATATTCATGTGAGACATTGGTAGTCTGAAGATACTGGAATGTTCTCATCAACGATGCTTTCGGTCTGTGCTCAAAGTTCACTGTATGTCTCACACCCATGATACAGTTGTTTTAAAAAGGGCCAATTCACTCTCTGTGGAAGAACTTATACACAAATACAGATTGCGATGGACAGGCCATGTTATTCGTATGGCAGATGACAGAATACCAAAACAATTAATGTATAGAGAATTGGAAATGGGAAAAAGACCACAGCACAAGCTGAAATTTTGTTACAAAGACTACCTTAAAGAGTCACTATACAAGTGCAATATTGGTCTGGATAACTGGGAGACTCTAGCTGGAGACTGGGTTTCTTGGAGAACTGGTATTGCTGATGGCATCAAGATCTTCCATGAGGCATCACAAAAATATGCAAAACTGAAGAGAAGGGTTCGGAAGGGATCCCTTAATTGCCATGTGCACAATGCAATCAGATACGTCTATCCAGGGCAGGTCTGATCAGTCACCAGAAATCGCACCAACACCAACAGACTATTGCATATGAGGATTTTGTAATGGCATGCTTTGAATGCCTGGCCTGCACTAGAGTGTGTAAGTCCAGGTCGACACTGACAAGGAATATAAAAAGACACATTGGAAGTGATGATTTTCAAAGTCAACTTCCACCACCCAGAGATGATTTGACATGCCATATATGTAACAAGAAATGCAGATCATTGGCTGGCTTTATGAGTCACTGTCATTCACACAACAAATGAATGCAGTGTTGTGTGTGTGTGGAGGGGTAACCAATGGACTGGACTGGACATGTCAGTGATGTTCACACTTGCTTTGCGAGTCAACAGCCACTACTATTACTATATATATAATTATGATATGTATGTATATATGTATGTGCGTGCATGAGTTTTTATATATATAGATGATTATGTGTGTGTGTTTTATATATATATATATAGATAATTATGGATGTATATGTGTGTGTTTATAATTGTGATATATATATATATAATTGTGATATGTATATATATATATATATATATATATATATATATATATATATTTATATATATATATATTACATTATTTACATTATTCAGACTATTGTCCTCATCTTTGTTGCCATATTTATCACAACGTTTCAGCCGTTGTACGCTCCGGCCTTCTTCAGGTAGTTGGAATGTCGAACTGAACCCTTTATTTCGCTCACCGGGGTAGACTGTTCTAGTTCTACGTGCCATGTTTGATGGATGTCAGTTATCAGTTATCTCCTGTTAATTTCCCTTTGAAAGTTCTCCACTGCCTTAACTGGGTATTGAACTCACACTCTTTTGGGTCCTGTCACTGGATCTAACCAACGCCTTTATCCACTGTGCCATGTGTCCAGGAAACATGGCACAGTGGATAAAGACACCAGAATAATAGACAATAACTTGATAAGACACCAGAAGTGTTAAAACAAAATGGCTATGTTTGTAGTGATTTTATGACATGCTTATGTTTTAATTTTTGAGTAAAATATATATATATATATATAAGAAACGGACAAAGTCCGACAACTTATTTATTAAAGACATTTTTATATTTAACGTTCTTTTTATAGATACAAGTATTTAAACAGAGCATTTACTTAAATACTTGTATCTATAAAAAGAACGTTAAACATAAAAATGTCTTTAATATATATATATATATATATATATATATAGTATGATGGCCACAAAATGTACTTGTGTATTGGGATTGCTTTATCAATCTGTACATGTCTTGCTTTTATACTGGGTTTTGTTAGAAGTTAAAAAGTTAAAAGGAAATTTTGTAGAAAATATATGCTCTGTATTCAAAACCCTATAGAATGCAGTACAATGCATTGACTGATGAGTCGAGAGGCATCAAAATTGAATTGGAATGTGATTTTATGTAGTGTTCTCCTTTATTGGTTGGTTAACATTGTTGTCAGTCAATGACAGTCTGGTATTTGCATTACCTATTCATATATTCCTGTTATACTTTTGTTGTTGTCTGAGATTGATACATTGAGCAGTTATTATTTTGGAGATAGTACCCAATCATTCCCGTTCCAGAATCACTGCACAGCCAAATGATTTTACCAGTTAGCCACAGTGAAGCGTCTGGTTGAAGGTGTTTGCTTATAAACAGTAATTTGAACTTTGCTAACCAGACGCTGTGGCTGAATGGTAACAGCCCATCAGGCTAGATGACACTTCCCATAAGGGTTACTTGTTGGATTCCTGTCAGAAGTGCATATTTTCTCCAAAATGTCTCAAATTACAGCTGGTAAATGTAATTAATTCTGTTTAATTAAAATTAGCATTTATAAGTTATATCTATAAAATAACATAAAACAGGAAATATATTAAATAATTGTCAGACTTATCAATTTCATAATAAATAAATATATATATATATATATATATATATATATATATATATATATATATATATATATAATACTGTAAGTAGAGTTTTTTTTTTTCAATTATTAAATATATTAATTTATAACTTATAACTAAACTCTAAAGATGTTGCATGAACTTATGCCATGGAAAAGTATTAATATTTTATCTCCTAATAAAAATAAAAAATGGACTCGCAAAAAAAAAAAAAAAATTAAAATGATGATCTCTTCTTATTTTTAACAGACGTTTTCTGTGAGCTGGATTCAGTGGATTCCTCAGTTGTGGTAATTGGTAAAGGTCCTTGGGTGCCAGGCTCTGTGGTCAAATTTAAATGTCACAGGTCAATCTGTGAACTTCTTGGTGAAAGTTCCATTACTTGTCTTGAAAATGGCAAATGGTCTGTAGATGAAAACCCATTCTGTGATTGTGGAGGTTAACCTTGGTAAGATGGTTTTCATTTATAATGTCACAAGTTCAAATTAAAGCTTTAAATAAAATATTCTATTGACTCTACAGCCTGTTAGCTTAAATTACTTTGCATCTTTAATTATGATGTTTCGTTTAAACACTGGAGAAAAAATTAGAAAACTGGTTGTATGAATCATTCTAATGCATTTGATCCTCACTGGGTGTATTCTTGTGCCAAACTAAGCCCAAGCTTTGTAAATATCAAATATAGTTTTCTCCAAACAATCTACAATTTACTATGGCTTGTGCAAACAACTTTAATTGATGCAATAATGAATTAACAGAGGAAAAACCACTTCTGTTGATCACTTTGGGGACACAGTCTTTTAGATAAAAATAACTGGCTGATAGCAAAGGATAAAAAAATTGGAACAATTCATTTCTTATAAGTAACTTTACATAATAAAAAAAAATATGAAATTTATTGACTTGAAATCATATTTAAATTAAAGGATTTTAAATAAAGTGTTTTTTTTTTTTTTAAATAACGATAACATACTGATAACATTTCTGATGATAATCAATGGCTTTCTTTGTACTTCTAAAATGTGATCAGGTACTGTTTTTTGGGAAGTCATCAGCTGGACCTTTTGTATGAGATCAGCTGAATCTCTCAAACAAAGCATAATTTGGCCTTATCAACCGAGACATCAGGTAATACTCTGAAATGACATAAAATTTTTCCAAGAAAGTCATTTTAAAACAACTACAAAATTCATTAAAATAATTGTCAATAAAATAAATGATAAACAATTTTTGATTGCATCTTTTTAAAATTAAAATGATGTCCATATTTGTTATCAGGATAAGATAATATATCATTGATGACAAAATATAGAAATGTATAAATAAATTATGTAATTCAAAATATTGACAAATTTGGCAAAAATATATTTATATAAATTAGATATTGTTTAAGATCTGGAAGTGGTGGTCAATGTTGAAGATAGAGCAATTGTAGATATCGACAGTGTGGACATTCAACACTGTCTTTCACACACACACACACACACACACAGACACACGTGTGTGTGTTTTATCACTTTTAATGCAATTTTTAGTGAATACCCATATTTGAGCAGATGCTCCATTTATTTATTAAACAATATATTTTTGCCTACCAACCTGAATATTTGAGAACTCTTATTAAAGGAAAATATGCCCACTCTGGCAAGATTTGAACCTGTGTCCTCCTGGGCAGAGGAAACCATCATTAGATCCAATGTGCCTTAACCAACCTAGCTAATCAACCTTGCCGGATCAGCTAAGTTCTCTGCAATTAAGTCGGTTAGAGCATGTCCAATCTAATGATGGTTCCCTCTGTCCAGGAGGATGCAGGTTCAAATCTTGCCAGAGAGTGCATATTTTTTCTTTAATAAGATTTTCTCAAATATTCAGGCTAGTAGATGAAAATAAATAAATATACTGTTTAATAAATAAACACGAGTATCCACTAAAAATCACATTTAAATGGATAAACAATCTATTGGTTTGATAAATAAAAATGCATCACTTCTTTAGAAAATTGATGTGTGTATGTATGCGCATACTTCTCTTGATATGCATATAATTAATAGATAAAGAAAAGTTAAAAAAAACTTATCTGATTTTTCAAGTTTCACAAATATACTGCTTATCAGAGTCAGATAAATCTATCCTGATAACTTTATCTAACTCTGACAAGTGGTGTGTCTACAAAACTTGAAAATCCAGATAGATAATTATTTTGAACATTTCTTTATTTATTCGCTATTGTTGCTGTTTTTTTTTTGTTTTTTTTTTATTTGGAGCACTTTCTTTACAAAAATCTGTTCCCCTTTAAACATCATAATCTGTAAATTACTGGACTCTATGCTTTACGAGGTGTTAAAGATCTGTATTGTTGTTTTTATTATCTATTTATTGTATATAAATATGTATTTATTTATTGAATTGAAATGTATTGTTTAAATAAAGTTCTGAAAAATGTCAGTATTAGAATCTGATAAAAACTTTTGTCTCTGGCACCCGCATAATAATTCCTGATAATGAACAGACTAAATCAATATGAAAAAATGTGTGAACAGAGAAATCAATACTGAATGAGGATTTGCAATGTACGCCTTAAGTAAAATATGGCAAGGGTGTGTTGAGGTTGGGGGGGAAACATCTAACTGATTGCTCTCTCAAGAACTAGTGGGGTAACTGGCAAAGAAGGGAAAGATATGTAAGGAAACAAAAACAACACTGTCAAAGAGAATGACTTCACAAGACATTTAGTTTTGCCAGCTGCCCACTGTTGGTTTTTTTGTCATTTTTGTTGACAGGAGACAGTTGACAGAGGCCTGTATCTGGACATTCCAAGCTGTTATGCTGCTAATGAGGAAACCTGAACATAACTGGTTTTGACAGACATGTCTGCATGCATTTCAAGGCCTCTTTAGTGTTTGTACTGTTACATGTTCGCCACACATGATCTGATGTGAAAAGGTGTGAAAATTGCCAGTCACCATGTAGTGTTGATTTCTTTATTTATAATGATTATATCTATAAATGCGCTATCCCCAACATTGAAAAAACTTCCTGTGTAAATATAGAAAATTTGAAACCGTCTGTGTGTGTGTGTATAACTTCTCTATTTATTTCCTTTGTTTTTTTTTTCAGATGATATTACAGATATGTAAGGATATTTTCCACGTTGAATATCTCTCAACACAGTCAATACACAGTTCAATTTTCTGAATAAATATTATATAAACAATGAAGAGTGTTTATTTATTCAAAGAAAAAGTCAACTTTATAAAACAATTGGTGATTTTTTTTTCCAGAAATTTATCAATCATGATGGTAAAAGTTCTAACATTAAAAAAATGTTCATCTCCAAAAGAATAAAATTAAAAAATAATCATTTCTTTTTTATCATCCACAAAAGTTTTATATAAGATTCTGCTTTGTGATATTCGACTGAATATCAGAATTCTTTCAATATTATTTGAAATTTTATAGGTTTTATGAAAACTGCAAATTTGTTCAGCCTAAATAGCATTGTTTGGAGTCAGTCATTTTAGATTTAAGCACAACAATCAGTTTACTTGTCATTTGTCACCTCTTTTGCTTGACTTAGTTTCCACCTTTCCCTTCACTCATCTACTTTTCATCTCTCCCTTTGTGTGTCCCTTTTCATACGTCTTTTTTATCTCCCCCTTTCCTACTTTGTCTCTTTCTTTGTCTCTCTCTTTCTCCCTTTCATTTCTTTGTTGCTTCTTTTTCTTTGTCCATCTCTTCCTCCTTTCTCTTACCCCCCTTTCCTTTCTCTCTCTGTTTTTTCCTTTCTCTCTCTCCCCCCTTTCCTTTCTCTCTCTCCCCCCTTTCCTCTCTCTCCCCTTTCCTTTTCTCTCCCCCTTTCCTGGATCTCTCCCCCTTCCTTTTCTCTCCCCTTCCTTTCTCCCCTCCCCTTCCTTTCTCCCCTCCCCCTTCCTTTCTCTCCCCTTCCTTTCTCTCCCGCTCCCCTTTCCTTTCCCTCTCCCCTTTCCTTTCCCTCTCCCCTTTCCTTTCTCTCTTTCATTATATAAATAAGATCACCAAAAGTATCAGAGTTTAGTACTGACCTAATGTTGTTTCCTTTTTTTTTACTTGACAATGAATGCTTTCCAAATTACACAAGACAAAGAAATATCTGCTTTATGTTGTTAAATGTATCTATGTATGTGTATTTAAACAGATATGTGTGTTTATACTATATTCAATTCTATTATTCAAATCAATATTTTTGCAATAAAATTGGTATAACAAATCAATGTTCAGGATCTACTTATAATCATATAAGCAAAATATATAGTGTCAGTTTCAGCTTGTGATATTTAAACTTATTAAAAAAATATTGGTGGTGTCATATTTTATTATGCAAATAAAATGAAATCAGTTTTCAATTGTAAATAGATTCAAAAGATATACACCATAGAAGTATATATTTAATATGAGTGTCACACATATACCAGAATAAACTTTTATTTCACATTCTAATGTGGAGTCATTTATTTTCTATAAATATTTCAATTGATTATAACTTTTTTATAGTGTTTTTCAGATGATATTTATTCAAATTTATAACATATGTATAAGATACCTACAAAAGTTCTGGTGTTTTATCAAGTGATAGCATTCAAAATTACAACTTTTGTAGTGATCTTATAACATGCATGTTATAAATTTGAATAAATATTATTATTAGTTCTACTCTGTATTAAGCATTCTTTTAAGAATAGTGTCTTTGGTTATGGGATTTTATTCCATGTGTACAAACCATGTACTTGGTTGTTTTCCAGATATAACAATATTTATTTCTTCCCAGAGATCTTTGCTTATATATTGTTTTCATTCTCATATACATCTCTTTTAAAGATAGACCACAAGTTTTATATTGGATTAATATCTTGACCATTCTATTAATTTGTTATCTGCAGTCAGTTTGGAGCTTGTAATGAAGTTCCCTAATCTGTTTCCTTCAACCAACAGTCAAACAATCTAACATGTGCCTCCTGTTCACTATGACAGTCACATTTCTGTCTGCCAACTCTTTAAGCACTTTTTTATTGATTGATTGGCAGTTCAAATTTGCATATGTTAAAAGAGATTCTTGTGAATGTCTATCCAAGTTTGAGATTTATCTTTTTTTTTTTTTTTTTAAATATACAACTCGTAAAGCCACCATTTTCTTTTTCGGAATTTTTTTAAATGTGTGACACATCTGAATACATTTTCGTCCTGGTGATAAAACTTTCTTCTCTAGTATTACAGTATCTCTATAACTTACTGTTGTTTTTTTTTTTTTTTTGGCAAAGTGGTCAATAGCTTTGCAAAATGTGAAAGACCATTGGTTTCTTTGAAGGAACCTAGAATTTTTTACTGCCTACAATACTAATCCAAAACGTTAGATCACCTCCCTAACCACTGTTGCCTTCTAAATCATATCAGTTGAAATATATAATCTTTAAACCAGCCATCAGGTCAGTCCAATGTAGCTCTACATTCATCAATAAAAAATACTGTAGAGAAATCCATTTTCATTTATATCTTTGGGTGACTTTTGCATGTTTCTCTTGGTGACATTTGCTTAAAGATCATATCGTTTGCTTTCATGTCTTCAGTCAACGTTCTTAATATTCTGCATCTTTTTTGTTTATATACATGAAACCAACTAGGGCACCTTGAGGTGGTGTAATGGTTATCAAGCTTGTCTTGCTAGAACAATTACGACTGAGTAGTGAGTTCGATCCTCACTGGGTGCCTCATACTTTCGGCCTAGTGCCATATCTGAGCTATGCTTGGAAAATCACTATACATGAAACCAGCTTTTGCAAATATTTTCTTGCTGCCTAATCCAATTTTCATACTCGTTATTCTTTCAATCTTCATAAAATCTCTTTTTGTGACATTTTTAAACCCATCTTTTTCCCTTTTTATTTTGCCAATGTTTTCAATTTCATTTTGGATTGTTCTCTGATCTCCAGTCAATTTCTTTCACATTTTCTGGGGTTGTTTCCCTATCATTCAATAATTTTACAATATCTGGGGCTCCCTCTTTTAAGCTTCTATGTTTTTTTTCTGACCAGTGATATCTTTATATATCAGAAATTAAAAAGTAAATATCAGTAGTTCACTTATTACTTAGATTTACACTATGATGAACAACTCTAAATGAATCATAAAAACCTGCCACCACCAAATAAGTTATTGTAAATATTTCTAATAAAATCAGATATTCAAAGCTGAAATTCATGAATTGTTATATGAATCTAATATATATATATACATTATATGAATCTAACATATATATATATATATATATATATATATATATATATATATATTCCTAAACATATATATAAAATTATATATATTTATAAATGTAAAAGCCTTAACTAAAACAAATTTTGATACATTTTATGTATATATAAAGATACATTTTATTAAAAATATTAATAAACTTAATTAATTCTTATTTTAACAGAAATTATTGCATTTTTTTTCATTTTAACTGATAAAAAAAAGTATTTGTGTAAAAACATTTTAAAAAAAATAGTAATAAACTTAATTCATTCTTATTTAACAGAAATTATCCATTTTTTTTCATTTTTTAATTGAAAAAAAGTATTCAAACAGCTACCAGTCTATTCCTGGTACGTTCTCAACTAATGATTTGCACACATTGAGTCATATTTTGTCCCAAATCTTCTTGGCATATTGTCTTCAAATTCATGATATTTGTCAGTGGTCTTTTCTCAATTTGAATTTTCAAATATCGCCATAAATTCTCGATTGGGTTCAAGTCTGGGGACTGACTTGGCCAATGCAAGACATCAACGTTACTTTCAGCAAACCATTTCCTTGTAGATCTAGCGGTATGCTTAGGATCATTATCCAGTTGGAAAACCGAATCAGGAGGTAGCCAAAGTCTGTCAACAGAATGCATTAAGTTGTCTTGCAGGATTTTCTGGTATTTTTCGGCATTCATCTTGCTATCTATTATTGATATTCTGCCAACACCTTTTGCAGAAAAACAGCCCCAGATCATGATACTGCCACCACCAAACTTTACAGTTGGCAGCATGTTCTTTGGTAAGTAGGCTTCACCGTCCTTCCTCCACACATGATTTCGATAATCATGACCAAACAACTCTATTTTAGTTTCATCTATCCATAGTACTTTTTCCCAAAATGAATATTCTTTATCCTTATGCTCTCTAATGAATTTTAGCCTAGCATCTCTGTGTCGTTTCAAGAGGAGGAGTCTTTTTGGGATGCGTGATTTCAGACTGTTTTTGTGTAGTTCATTACTTATTGTACGCTTGGTTACTTTAATCCCTAATGCATGCAGATGTTCCTGCAGCTCTTCTTGGGTAACCTGTGGATTTTGTTGGATCTGGCATCCTAATATCCTTATTGATCTTAGAGAAATCTTCCTCGGAGCACCTGTTCGTCTTTGGTTTTCGATGCTGTTATGAGTTTTAAACCTTGCAATGAACAAAACAATTGTAGTAAAAGGAATATTCAGGTTGTTAGAAATTGTTCTGTAACTGTTCCCATCTTTCCAAAGAGACAAAATGTGTTGTTTTTGTGAAATAGTCAATTCTTTACCTTTAGGCATTATTAGAACCTTCTCATAAGACTAGAAATTCCAGAATATTTTCTGATAATGGCTAATTCCGTTAACTATAATTACTTATAACATTACTGGAACATTCTAGAATATACCTTTTTCATAATTAATTGATTATGTTATTCTAATAATTGATTTGTATGAATATTTTTTCACCAGTTAGAATTAAAAAAATGCAAAAATTTCTGTTAGAATAAGAATTAATTGGGTTTATTATTATTTTTTAATAGTATGTGTCTTTATACATAAAATAACTGAGATTTGTTTTATTTAATATTTTATTTTATAAAAATACAATTTTTCAAGTGTATGAATATTTATTTCCCCCCGTGTGTGTGTGTATATATATATATATATATATATATATATACCAGAATACGTTAGAGACATCTATCTATCTATATATATATATATATATATATATATATATATATATATATATATATATATATAGCGAACCAATAAATAACATATATATCCTTTCGAATAATTGACTGCCTGATTGCCATTTCTTTTTTTTTTTTTTTTTTTTTAGAGATACGACATTGTGGCAATTGTTTTGATTCAACAGGTAACCAATAAAAAACACCAAATAAAATTCAAATCCAGTTAGATTGTCAGTTAGGCCTCATCTTTTTAAATGGATAGATATACCAAATTATTAACTAACAGTTTCTTCTCTCATACTTTTCACTTGTGGAACTCCTTTCTGGAGTTTCCATCTGTCTATATTTCTGAGATGAGGTATTGTAACTATTTACATCTTTGTCATATTCATGACATTTCGGCCCGCTGTATGCTTCAGCCTTCTTCAGGTAATATATGTTGGAATTTTGAACTGAACCCTTTTAGTCCACTAAGGGTGGGGGTAGATTGTTCTAGTTCCATGTACCATGCCTTTTCTGGATACCTCACAAAGTTATTAATCTTTTAGTCCCTTTTCAAATCTCATAAATCTTTTTTGAACCACCTCAAAAAAAAAAAACCCCGGTTTTAAATTTCACACTTTAGCCAAAGTCACTTTTGGTTTATTCAACAAATACTTTTATACTTGTCTACATGTTCTTATGGGGTTTCCTTCTTGTTTTCCAAGAACAGATTTGATCTTTAAAAATGTAAATGCAATGTCTCTTTTAAGGCTTGTTCTTTTTCATTGATCCCTCTACGGGATAATGATTTTCTTTTCCTATATTTAATAAAAATTACCTTTGTTGGCATTGTTTCTTTTTCCTTTCATTCTGTGTGATTAAAATCATAATATATTTTATGTTTACACATTATTCAACACCGGTAGATGAACTCACTGTTCATTCACATACATATTTATTTTTTGACATTCTATTCCTAAATGAGGTAGTTTTGGATTTTTTGCCAATGTAATTTATAATGCTGTTATGCACGTGTTGGTCTCTT